TGGGTGGAGCCCAAGGTGATGCAGCAGAGTTTCCAGTTTTTCAAGAACAAGCAGGATTTCGACTGGAGCCAGGTGCGAGGTCCTGCAGGTGCGGTCGTCTTGACCCTTAGGCGGATAGGCTTGGAACCGAGGGCCTGGAACCTGTTCGTCACCAACTCGGGGTTAGAGATTGACTTGGAGTATCTTGGAGGACGTTCTCTGAAGATGGTTCTGGAGAGGTTCGTTCGGGAACACCTTGTCAGAAGCCTTGGGGACGGTCGCGTGGAAGGTCTCGACGAGGGGCCGCTGCTGGAACCTGTCATCGAAGTGCTCAGGGACCTCAGGGCCAAGGGCAGGTGGCAGGCGGCGGCGGGTCTCGCGGGAGTGGTCGCAGGCGGGTATCAGACCCAGGAAAAGCTGTACCAGGACAGGCGTGTTTTGGACAACAAGTGTATGCTGTGCCAAGGTGAAGTATGTTCTGCATTACACAGGTTTCGATGCCCAGCCCATCAGCCACGAATTCGAGATCTCGGAGTCCAAGAGTTGTTGGACACGCCGGTGCTGCCAGGAACGGAGGCGCTCCACGCGAGGGCGCTCTTTCCAAGTGTCGAGTGGGCTTGGCCCATACCGCGCCAGCGGGCAGGATTTCGGTGGGACGCGGTACCGCCGAACGGGGTGCTCGACCAAAGAGTGTGTCTAGACGGATCAGGATATGACCAAGATCAGCCTTCTCTGGCCCGCGCGGGGTGGGCGGTGGTCACCGTCACGGCCAGCGGGCACATCATTGGCTCGGCGTACGGGCCCATGCCGCACATCGTACAGCTCGCGGGGGCAGGGGAGGTGTACGCCTTCCTCATGGCGATTCGGTTGGCGGGCCCGCTAGGGCTCGATGTGATCACGGATTGCAAGATGGTGGAGGATATATGGGGGTTCGGGCCTGAGCAGAACCTGGAGGACGTAGCATATTCAGAGCTTTGGAGGGAAATATTTCGGCTGGCAGGGGATCTCGGACGTGATCTGATTTCGGTACGTAGGGTTAGGTCTCACCTCTCCCTCGGTCAGGCCCGTAGGCAGGGGGTGCGTGAGTGGGAGTGGAGAGGCAACAAGCGGGCAGACGAGCTCGCCAAGCTTGGGGCCCAGGCTCATCCCACCAACCCCTTGGTCAAGGCTCAGCTTAAACACAGTTTTAATCTAGTCAAACAGTCGGCCTGGTTGATTGCCGAGGTCATGAGTGACCTCTCGGTTAAGAATTTCCCAGATGTGGCGCGTGTGCACAGGCCTCGTCGGCCCAAGCCACAGCTGCTGCAGTTGATTCCAGAGCCCAATGGGCATTTAATTGAGAAGTCTGGCAAGCAATACAGATGTGTGACGTGCGGCGAGAGAGGCCGCTCGAGAGCACACATCTCTTTGACGCCTTGCGGCGGTCCGCCGAGAGTTGCGAGGACGGCGCACCAGAGTCACAGGCTCTGGCTGGGGGGGGGGCGGGTGGCCTGGTGCGTGCGTTGCGGCGCTTTTGGGTCCGCTCGGTCTCGGCTCCTTGGGACTCGTTGTGAAGGGGGTCCTCGCAACCGTGACGCCGCTAATGGTCTCAGAATGCTCAGGAATGGAGTGGACCCCAGCTCGAAGACGAGCGTTGGGAGATCTGTTCCGCTCAGATGGCAGGTTCAAACAGGTTGGTCGTCCGCACCTGTCTGAGCCCCATCTTCCAACACTTGCCTTCTGCACTGTGTTTTTGGGCTGCCTTATCGCTCAGCGGTAACGGACAGCTAATGAGCCAATAGGAGCCAATAGGGTAGGTCCGGCAGTTCCCCATACAGGCGGATCTTGAAGACATTAAAAAGTGCTCGGACAACATCAGAACATATAAACAATCGTCCCCATACGATGTGTTCGACTAGTTTTGAGCACTCCTCATGTAGAGGGACATGCCCGACTTAAGTCAATAGAGGGAGCGGGCAAGGGCTTCTCAGAAGGAGGCTGTTTGCTGAAGGCGCCGACCGCTCCTCTACGAAGCCAGGGGCGCGCCCCCTCTCAGAAGCACCCCAGCAGCTTCTCACAACCACAGAGCAGCTTCTTTAGAGAGCAGACAATCCACCCCTACAATGATCACCCCGACACGCGAAGCCGTTTAGCGAACGCACCCACATAAGGAATCGGACAGGGCATGGCTGTTTGGTAAACACCCAGGGCCGCTCTGTAAACGCCAGTTGTCAGGTTTGGGTTGTTTGTTACCCCCCTTGATTCTTTCAACCACAGAGCACGTTCTGAGAAGCAAGCCAGCCGCGACTTACAAACCCACCAGGAGCGTCCACCGACGAGCAACCACAAGTCTCGTAAAGGGGGGCGCGCCTTCCAAGAAGGCGGGGTGCTTCTAAGAACCCCCCCGATCTTTCTGGAGAGATTGGAAAATAGCACCAGGATCTCCCGATGGGTCCATCCCTCAGGGGCTGCGATCTGCGAAACTGTCGCCACTTTCGAGGGCTGCTGGGGGGGCCAACATATTTAGCTAGTACTCGCCGCGGACTCACATTAGACCTCGACATCCCTGGGGCGCTGGGAACTGCGAAACTGTCGCCACTTTCGAGGGCTGCTGGGTCGCCGCGGACTCAGACTACACCTCGCCATTCCTGAGGGGCTGCGATCTGCGAAGCAGTCGCCACTTTTGAGGGCTGCTAGGGGTGGCCAACATAGTGGGTACTCGCCACGGACTCGGATTAGAGCTCGCCATTCCTGGGGCGCTGCGATCTGCGAAGCCGTCGCCACTGCGGGGGGGCTAGCATAGTGGGTACTCGCCGCTGACTTATACTAGACCTCGCCATCCCTGGGGGGCTGTAATCTGCGAAAGTGTCGCCACTTTCCAGGGCTGCTAGGGGGGGCCAGCAGATTGGGTACTCGCTGCAGATTCAGATTAGATTCCGCCATCATCCCTGGGGCGCTGCGATCTGCGAAGCTGTCGCCACTTTGGAAGGCTGCTGGCGGGGCCAGCATCGTGGGTACTCGCCGCGGACTCATATTAGACCTCGCCGTCCCTGGCGGCGGGTTGCGATCTGCGAAGCTGTCGCCACTTTCTAAGCCTGCTGGGGGGGCCAGCATAGGGGATACTCGCCGCAGATTCAGATTAGACCTCGCCATCCTTGGGGCGCTTCGATCTGCGAAACTGTCGCCACCGCCGCGGACCCACATTAGACCTCGCAATCCCTGGGGCGCTACGAAATGTGAAGCTATCACCACTTTCGAGGGCTGCGGCGGGGGCCAACATAGGGGGCATTCACCGCACGCAGATTCAGATTAGACCTCGCCACCCCGGGGAGCTGCGATCTGTGAAGCTGTCGCCACTTTGGAAGGCTGCTGGCGGGGCCAGCATCGTGGGTACTCGCCGCAGGTTCAGGCCAAACCCCGCCATCTCTGGAAGGCTGCGATCTGCGAAGCCGTCGCCACTTTCTAGGTCTGCCGGGGGGCAGCATAAGGGGGTACCCGCCGCTGATCCAGATTAGACCTCGCCATCCCTGGGGGGCTGCGATCTGCGAAGCTGTCGCCACTTTCGAGGGCTGCTGCGGGGGGCAGCGTTATGGGTACTCGCCGCGGACTCACATTAGAACTCGCCATCCCTGGGGCGCTGCGATCTGCGAAGCCGTCGCCACTTTGGAAGGCTGCTGGCGGGGCCAGCATCGTGGGTACTCGCCACGGACTCGGATTAGACCTCGCCGCCCCTGGGGGGCGCTGCGATCTGCGAAGCGGTCGCCACTTTCTAGGTCTGCTCAGGGGACCAGCATAAGGAGCACTCGCCGCAGATTCAGACTAGACCTCGCCATCCCTGGGGGGCTGCGATCTGCGAAACTGTCGCCACGTTCGAGGGCCGCTGGGGGGCGCAGCATAGTGGGTACTCGCCGCGGACTCACACTAGATCTCGCCATCCCTGGGGCGTTGCGATCTGCGAAGCTGTCGCCACTTTGGAAGGCTGCTGGCGGGGCCAGCATCGTGGGTACTCGCCGCGGACTCTGTTAGATCTCGCCGCCCCGGGAGGGGGGCTGCGATCTGCGAAGTTGTCGCCACCTTTTAGGTCTGCTGGGGGGGCCAGCATAGGGGGTACTCGCCGCATATTCAGATTCGGCCTCGCCATCCCTGGGGGGCTGTAATCTGCGAAAGTGTCGCCACTTTCCAGGGCTGCTAGGGGGCCAGCGTATTGGGTACTCGCTGCAGATTCAGATTAGATTCCGCCATCATCCCCGGGGCGCTGCGATCTGCGAAGCTGTCGCCACTTTGGAAGGCTGCTGGCGGGGCTAGCATCGTGGGTACTCGCCGCGGACTCATATTAGACCTCGCAGTCCCTGGCGGGGGCTGCGATCTGCGAAGGTGTCGCCACTTTCTAGGTCTGCTGAGGGGGGCAGCATAGGGGGTACCCGCCGCGTATTCAGATTAGACCTCGCCATCCCTGGGGGGCTGCGATCTGCGAAAGGGTCGCCACTTTCGAGGGCTGCTGGGGGGCGCAGCATATGGGGCACTCGCTGCAGATTCAGATTAGATTCCGCCATCTCTGGGAGGCTGCGATCTGCGAAGACGTCGCCACTTTCGAGGGCTGCTGGGGTGGCCAGCATAGGGGGCACGCGCCGCAGATTGACATTAGACCGCTTGCCGTTCGAACCTCCTATCACCTTCTCCATGCTGGTGCTGCCGCGATGGCTCCCCGCCCCCACACTTCCCTCATTTTCCTGTCCGTCGTTCCCGCCCCCGTTCCTCTGCAAGCCTGGGGCCCCAATCCTCGTTCTGTCGATCGCTGTCCTGTGAGTCGTGCAGCGCGCGCGCGCATCCCATGTCGCTTGCACAACGAATCGCCGCGCCTGCGCTGTCGTTGTTCCTGCCAATATTGGCCGACGTCTCTTTCCACTCGATGCAAATGGGTTGGGTACGTCGCAGGGAATTTGTTCCACTCTGGAAGGTCAGGTTTCCCGCCGCCGCCCTCTGCGCGTGGCTGACCCCCCCCGCTCACGAAGCCTCCCGGGGGGGGTTGACGCCCATCCGACTTCAGCGCGTCCTCCGTGCTCGGGGCGCAGACTTCGGCCCCTCTTCCGGGGGAACGCCGCCCGACCACGCCACTCCTCCTGGCCGCGCCCATCCGTCGAAGAATGACGCCATCGGCATGAACTCTCGGAGCTCCGCGCGGATGCCTTGGATCTGCGCCGGGTCCCCCTCGGGAGCGGCCAAGAGGGGGGGGCAAATCGTGACCGGCGGCATGTGCGCGGCCCAGCGTTGGGGCCAGGGACGTGATGAAACAAGAAGAGGCGCCCTGAGATCTGGGGAACTATCATGGCCCCCGCCATGGCATCCACCCCCCCCCCCTATAGTCCTCACCCCCCTCTCTTCCGCCCCCGACTGGCGGCGCCTCCGGCGCCGCCCCCGGGCACGCCGGGGAGGGGGCCCGACGCTGGCCCGGGAGATCCGCGCGCAGCCCCGGACACGCCTGCCTGTGCCGCGCTCTCTCGCTCGAGCGCTGGGGCCTATAGGGTCGTGGCAGGCGCTTTCGCCTGGCCTGGCCAGGGGAGGCGGCGCGGGCACCGATCTCCGAGAGATCTGTGGGAACGGCAAGATGGAAGGGGCCCTGGGACGCACAAAGAAATACACACAAGTGACCCGATGCCCCATATGTTCGTAGATCTTCTCGGGTCTGGGCTCTTCCCCCCCACGGCCCATATTTTCCCATACTTTCCTGGGAGAGGACGACTCAGTCTGTGTGCTTTGTCCCCTCCCGAAAGATGCCCGGTGCCGCTATACTTCGCAGGCCGCACCCCCAGGCAGGCGCAGCCGCACCCAGGACTCCGAGGCGAAGCCGGCCGTGGCGACGAGCCCCCCCGCGCCCCCCGCCAATAGGAGGGGTGACTATCGGCCTCGCTGCGCTTCCCTCCACTTCACCAGCCTCGAACGTATCCCTAACCGCCTGCTGCTGATAAAAAAGGACCCCCCCCTTAACACGCTGGAGTTGATGATCCACGGCCAATAAGAGTTTTGTCAGGGGCGCGGGGCGCGGGGCGCGGAGGCCGAACTCTTTTATCACTGTGAAAAGTTCACCATCGAGGTCAACTTCCTTCTTATGTTGAGATAGCAACATCAAGCGAAGCGAAGACGTTTTCGAGGATGTCTCAAGCGAAACCAACAATTTTTGGAGGCAACCTCAAGCGGAACGATCAATGTTTGAAGGATGTCTCAAACGGAACCAACAATTCTTCGAGGATGTCTCAAGCTAAGCGAGAGACTTGTCGATGAGAGACTTCCTCCTCCTCCTCCTCATCATCATCATCCTCCTCTCTCGCTTTCTTTTTTTGTTTCTCTCTCTCTCTATATATATATGTATCTCTCTCTCTCTCTCTTTGTCTCTGTCTCTTTTTCTCTCTCTCTCTCTCTCTGTATTTCTCCTTCTCCCCCTGGCCCCCTGAACTTTTTATCGCTGTGCATTACTATCCACGGCAGACGAGGCACATGAGCTACCCTACACGAGCAGATGAACATCTTACTTTCCATTGCTTTTTATACATTAAATTTAATAGGTTTGGAAGTTTGGCGTTTCTCCTCCTCCTACTCCTCCTCCTCCTCCTCCTCCTCCTCCTCCTCCCCCTCTGTCTCTCTCTCTCTCTCTCCTTCTGTCTGTCTATCTTTCTCTACTTCTCTCTCTCTCTCTCTCTCTGTCGAACTATATGTATATGTCTGTCTCTGTCTCTATCTGTATTCCTCCTTCTCCCCCTGGCACCCTGAATGTTTTATCGCTGTGGATTACTATCCACGAAAACAGAGGCACGTGAGCTACCCTACACGAGCAGGTGAAAATCTGAATTTCCATTGTTTGTTTACAAATTAAATTTAATAGGTTTGGAACTTTGGCGTTCCTCCTCCTCCTCCTCCTCCTCCTCCTCCTCCTCTCTCCTTCTGTCTGTCTATATTTCTCTACTTCTCTCTCTCTCTCTCTCTCTCTTTTCCTCTAACTATCTGTATATTTCTGTCTCTGTCTCTCTCTGTCTTCCTCCTTCTCCCCCTGGCACCCTGGACCTCGATCCCCGATCTTCGATTTTCGACCCTCGGACCTCGATCCTCGATCCGCGGACCTCGCCGCCGTCGATCCTCGGACCTCGATCCTCGACTCTGGGATCTCGATCCTCGATCCTCGGACTTAGATTCTCGATCCTCGATCCTCGGCTTTCGGTCCTTTCAACATCATCTCTTTCTCCTCCCACATGCTGGCCTCCGGTAGGCAACATTCATAATCCCCCCGCAACCCCGAACTTTATTATCCCTGTGGCATTCATCTCGGCGGCACTCGGTGATTTCCCTAAGAGTGACACGCCCAAAGGCGATGACAATCTTAGGGATTCGCCCTCAAAAAAAGAAGGGAACCCCTGAGATTGGCATCGTGATGAGGAGATGCCCACCGTAGGGATAGGGATATGTGCCAGGCTGGTGACCGCTGAGCGGATGGGCCTGGCCAAGACCGGTGCAGGCAGGCGGGCGACGCCCCCCGAAGCCTGCGGGGAAGCCCATCTGGAGCGATCCCGTGAGCAGCGCGCCGGGCGCGCCCGCGCCCGTCGTGGAGGCGGTCGTGCCGCTCGCGGGCGCGGTACCTGACCGTGGGGCCGGGGGGGGCCTCCCGGGGTCTCGGGGGCCGTCCTGGGGCGGAGGTCTCGACATGTCAGTGCGTGTGCCCCCTCTTTGGGGCCCTTTCGGGGCCCTCCTGGAGCTCTCGGGCCGTCTGAGGAGCATCGGAGATCGGTGGGGATCCGGGAGGAGGATGTGGAGAAAGTGGAATAGAAAGGAAGGAGGAGGGAAGAGGGGAAAAGAAGAGAAGGGCTCGACCAAGGCTGCCCTCTCTCGCCGGTTTTTTTCGCCACGGCCACGGCGATCCCTTACGAAAACTTAGCGCGCGCGCGCTGCGGCGGGACACGGGCGCCATCGGGGGCCCCAAAACTGGGTGGTGACCACACCGTGTGGTGAGTCGGTGGGGATTCGGGGTCACCGCACGGTTTTGGGACTCGGGTCGTTCTCCGAGGACGTCTCGGGCGACTGGGGCATCCGAGGTCTCAAAACCATGCGGTCTGTCACCGCATGATGGCGTGCCTGGACGACGTCTACCTGGCGGGCACACCGGAGGCGCCCGCCGCGGCCCAAGCAACCCCCACGGGGCTCTACGCGGCGCGCGGACTCCGCCTGAACGAGAAAAACACCAAGGTATGGGACCCGCGCAACCTGCAGCTGCCGGCGACCTTGGCTGCGGCGAAAACGCTCGATCTCATGTGCATGAGCAGCCGCCTACCCTTCCTCGGCGGGGCCGCGATGAGCGGCGACCCGGTGGCGGTCAGCTTCGGCGTGGCGGCCCGCCAGAAAACGGCGGGCCAACTCTTGGCGGCCCACCTGGCGGCGCCCCAGACTTTGCGCAAGCAAGGCTTAAGAGCGCAGGACAAGCTGACGCTCCTGCGCACGTTTGCAAACGGAGCTGTTCTCCATCCACAGCACGCGCGAGCGCACTTGCTAACGAGGTCTGGTGCATCGGCTACGACGCCCCAGTTTTGCGGCACCTGCAGGACGTGGTTTGGCAGCCCCTGACCGCGGCGGCGCGCGAGCAGGCCTACCTCACCCTGAGGGTTCGAATAGCAAAGCCTTGGCGAGCGCCACGTGCTCGCTTTCGCGGTTTCCTGGCTGGCGTGTCTGGCCGAGGTGCGCCGCGAGCTCAGACTGCCGAGCCTCGAAGCTTTCGCTGCGGCCTGCCCCAGAACCTGGGCGACTGTGACAAAGGCGGGGCGTTTGCCAGGCGCGGACGCCACTGCCTGGCTGCGCGCAGCAACGGGGCGCGACGAGCAAACGCAACGGCGCATCGCGAGGCCGGCGCAGGAGCGGCGCCGCGCTCGCCTGCTCGCCGCCTCTCCGCCACCAGATCAGGCGAGCCTACGCGCCGGCAGCTGGCTCCTCCCACCCACGGAGCTGCACCATGTCCTCGCGGACGAGCACGCACTTCCTGCCGGCGCTGGCCATGCGGCTCCGCCTGCCGCTGCCGCCGGGGACCTGCGCGACCTGCCTATGGCGCCGCCCCGATGGCTCCTGTTGCGGGGCCGACCTGCGCGCAGACACTGGGCATCCCGCGGGTTGCCCGCGCTGAAGCACGACGGCGTCCGCGACTGGCTCGCGCGCTGGCTGGCGGCGTGGGGCGCCCTGGGCTCGAGGACAGAGCAGTTCGTCCCCGCCTGGGACAGACAGCGCCCGGATGGCACCCTCGAGGCCGCGCGGCTGGACGTGGCCTTCACCGACCCGACGAGGCGATCACCGACGCGTCTTCGGGCGCGGGCACAGCCGCGCCGCGCGCGACGGGGCCGCGGCGAGGGCGGCCGAGGCTCACAGGCGCAGCAGCTGCCCGGGATCAGCCCTGGTCGCCCTCGCCCTGGGGGCGCGCGGGGAAGCCCGGAAGGAGGCGCAGGCAGAACCGGGCGGCTGCCAACCCGGCGATGCCGACGGCGGCTCGCCGGAGCCTTGCCGCCGCGCTGCAGCACGGCAGCGCGGATACCGCACGGCCCGCCCGAGCGCCGCGCCAGGCTGACCTTGCCCGCGCGGCCCTTGCCCGGCTGAGCGCCCCTGGCAAGGCCGACGGCGCGCGGCTGGCCAACTGCCGAATCGGCGTGAGGCTGCGGTCAAGCCGGTGCGAGGCAGAGCTCCTAGGATAGCGCGGCTGGCGGCGGTGGGACGCTGCAGGGCGGCGGAGTGAGCGGGCGCAGCTGGGGCGGCGGGGGCGCCGCGCGGCGGCGGCGGCGGCTGGGCTTCGCTGAGCTGCTGCGGCAGTAGCACTGCGGCGGAGGCGGGCGGCGGGCGCGCGGGCGAGCCGGCAGAGGCGGGCGTCTTGCAGGTGTTCGGCGGCGGCGGCGGCGAGGGTTGGGCCACGCCGAAAACCTCCCGGCGCTGCGGCGGCGGCGGTGGGGCGCTCGCCGGCTGGAGGCGGCGGCACCGAGCGGCAGCAGTGGGCGCTTGGCGAGAGGGTGGGAGCAGGCGCAGCGACGCGTGCTCGCCCTCGCCGAGTGCCCCGCTGGACCCCTCGGACTCGGGACCCCACGCGGCCGGATAAGGAAAAGGAGGAGGAGGAGGAGGAGGAGGAGGAGGAGGAGGAGGAGGAAGAGGAGGAGGAGGAGGAGGGGAGGAGGGAGGAGGGAGGAGGGAGGAGGAGGAGGAGGAGGGGAGGAGGAGAGGAGGAGGAGGAGGAGGAGGAGAAGGAGGAGGAGGAGAAGCAGCAGAGGAAGAGGAAGAGGAGGAGGAGGAGGAGGAGGAGGAGGAGGAGGAGGAGAGCAGAGCAGCAGCAGCAGCAGCAGCAGCAGCAGAGCGAGGAGAGGAGGAGGAGGAGGAGGAGGAGGAGGAGGAGGAGGGGCAGGAGGAGGAGGAGGAGAGGAGGAGGAGGAGGAGGATAGGAGAGGAGGAAAGAGAGGAGGAGGAGGAGGAGGCGGAGGAGGAGGAGGAGGAGGAGGAGGAGGAGGAGGAGGAGAAGAAGGGGGGAGGAGAAGGAGGAGGAGAAGGAGGAGGAGAAGGCGGCGGAAGAGGAGGAGGCGGGGGAGGAGGCGGAGAAGGAGGAGGAGGAGGAGGAGGGAGATTTTGGAGAGGGGGAGGAAGAGGAGGAGGAGGAGGAGGAGGAGGAGGAGGAGGAGGAGGAGGGAAAGGAATAGGAGGAGTAGGAGGAGGAGGATGAGGAGGAGGAGGAGGAGGGGGAGGAAACGGAGGAGAAGGAGAGGGAGGAGCGAAGGGGTAGGAGGTAGGAGGTAGGGAAAGGAAAGAGTCGAGGAAGGATAGAGGGAAGGACAAGGATGAGCGACGGAGGGGGAGGATGGAGGGAGCGAGAAAGGATGATAAGACGGGTGGATGGAAGACAAGGGGGAAAAGCAAGAGGGATGATGGTGATGATGATGCTGATGATGATTATTATGATGATGAGGATGAGGATGAGGATGAGGACGACGACGACGAAGACGACGACGACGTCGACGACGACGACGAGGATGAGGATGAGGATGAGGACGAGGACGAGGATGATGTTGAGGATGAGGATGAGGATGATGAGTTTTTTTACTCCTCGCGCCATTAATCGCTTTGCTTCGATTTCCTCTGGGGTGAGCCGTCGGCCAGTCAGCGGGCAACGAGTCATATCCATTCTCAGCGACTCCCAATCCGTGCTACTATTGCAAATAGTGAGGGGCGGCTCCGAGGCAATGCGAAGAGGCTCGCGCGGCCCCGAATCAGATATATGTGGCAGCCGAGCCCTCGTCACAGCCGCCATCTCCCAGAAATCCCGCATGCCAGCACGATCAGATCCAGGCCGAGGGCTGCGAAGTCTATGGAACACACCAGGACGAGGAGGGAGGTCGAAACAAACGCGCACCGCATCGTCAGTAGGGTAGCCGTCCATGTCCATCTCGGCGAGGAGGTCGTCCACTATCTCGTCGCACGAGAAGCTCCAGGCATCAGGGACGCGGGGCACATCGGAGGAAGCACCAGGAACCAGCACGACACCATCTCCTCGTTCAGTATGCTCAGGAAGACCTGCGCGATCGTCGGGAAGCAGCTCTCGTCCCTGGGGAAGCCCCCCGGCATGACCAGCATCAGGTCCAGGAAGGCCCACACAATGTGCAGTAAGTAGACGGGCGCCAGGCACAGGAAGTTCCACCTGTCCGCCAGGCAACGCAGCTCGATCGTCAGGCAAATGAGCCACACCAGGCGCATGAAGAATGGCATCAGACTGGTCACCACCTCCTCCTTCACGATAGCCGGCACAAAGCCCCCGAAGAACAACGTCAGCAACGTCGCAGTCACGAGCAGGAAATCCGTCTCCATCATGAGGCTCAGCGCGATCAGCTTCGGCAGAAAGGACACCAGAATTCGGAACGAAAATCTGCGCGTCCGAATTGAAAGGGAACTTCGGCACCTGCAGGAATAGGCCGCAATGATGTCGAGGAGCCTTGTGCGGTGGACCGCCACAGCTCTGCCACGCAGCTGCCGCCCACGGGTCGCATCCAGGGCCGAGCCAGGGATCACGAGTGGCCGCACGATGGTCTCGCCGACGTCGCCGAGGTCCGCCACCGCCGTCATCTCCTCCACCATCAGGGTCGTCATCACCAGGACCCCCACCACCATGAGAAAGATCGTCACCGCCAGCACCATCCGGAAGCCAAGGAGAAGACCACCAGATGCAAATCTCCTGCTTCCCGCCCGAATGGCGATGCCCACGATCCACTGCAACCAGCACGCCCACCATGCGGTCGAACACCTCGAGCGTGTGGAGGAGAAGCGCCCTTGCTGGAGGTGAGGTAGGCCCAGCAGCAGGGTCGAGCACCACCTTAACCTTGGACCTGCTCGGGATGGCAGCCGAGGAGACAGAGATGTGCGCCTGGGCCCCTGCGACCACTTGCTCGCGAATCCAACGAAGCCTCGCAGCGACGACCATGGCCGACGGAAGCGGGAGGGGAGAAGGGGGAGGGCGCAAGCGCACCCAGGAAGCTGCGGGGACAGGCACGTGCCAGAGCCAAAGCAGCTAGGATGAGGATGAGGATGAGGATGAGGATGAGGATGAGGATGAGGATGATGATGGTGATGGTGATGGTGATGGTGATGATGATGCTGATGCTGATGCTGATGCTGATGCTGATGATGATGCTGATGATGATGATGATGATGATGATGATGATGATGATGATGATGATGATGATGATCATGATCCCGCTCTCCCAGGGGAGGGCAGCCGCCGACTCGCGGTCTCCCCCTCACACTGCCACATTACGCCTGAAGGCTCCTCCTGCATGCTGGCGACCTCGGGCGACCCCGCGGAAGCACGGGGGGAGGGCGGGCCGAGCTCTGCCTGCGAACCCCCTTTCGGTGGGGTGCACGCCGCGCTTCCGACGCCTCAAACCCTCCTGATGGCGCTGTGAGGCGGGGCGATCTGGGCACGCCTCGCCGAGCTTCACTACACGGACCGAGGACGTATAGCCTCCGCGCGCAATAAAGTAAGCCACACCCCGAGCACGAGACATGCGGTGCGACTCGTGAAAGGAAACGCTCCGCTGAGAGGGGGCAACGCCTCACCGACAGAAGCCCTGGAACCTCATACGCCTTCACCATAGCTCCCTCCTCTTCCTCCTCCTCATCCTTCCTTTCCTCCTCTTCATCCTTTCAACCACCCTTCCCAACGTCACGTTTACCCACTGCTTGCTGGCGTGGGCTCCGGACAGTACGTCCTTGCACGGTGGATGCGTTAGGTATGTGGTGCGAGCTATGAAATGTAAGCTACGCTATATAATATATGTGGTGCAAGCTGGGTCCCTGGGAACGCCCGGCTACCCCCCTGGAGGAGGGGGGCCAGCCTCCGCGGCAGCGACGCCCGCGCCCGCGCGCGGGATGCCTCCAGCGGGGCTGCCTGAACTCTGGGGTTCCACGGGGGGCTCGGGGGCCTCGGCTCCGCTGCTGCTGCTGCGAGCTCCTGACCGCTAATGCTGCTGCTGCTGTGAGCCTCCTCCTCCCGATGACGTTGATAATGGTGATAAGTATGATGACTATGACGATGACGATGACGATGACAACGACGATGACGATGATTATGATGATGATGATGATGATGATGATGATGATGATGATGATGATGATGATGATGATGATGATGATGATGATGGCACTGCTCGGTGCGGTACCACTCATCTCGACGGCCGAGGTGAGGGTCGTGGTGCTGCTGCCCAAGGCGCTGGTAATGTCCGCGCTACTGGTCCCACGGCCGCTGCTGAAAGTAGCAGACGTAATGGCAGGCGTGGTGATTGTGGTGGTACTGCTGGAGCTGAAGCTTGCGAAGACCACGCTGCTGCTGCTGGCAAGGGTCGCACTACCTTCAAATCCTCTGGTCTGCGACGTGCTGCTCGTAATCGTGGTACCGCTCGCAGTGCTTCTGCTGGTCTCTGTTACGGTGACAAGTGTGGCCGTGCTGACATCAGTTGTGCTACTCGGTGCAGTTCTGCTCGACTTGCTGGTGCTCGTGGCACTCAGGGTGGCAATGCTCGTCCCGCTGGCACTGGTGGCGCCGAGCGTGGCACTGCTCTCCACGCTGGTACTGGTGAGGCTCGTGGCGCTGCCGGCTGAATTGCTGGATAGGGTCAAGCTGCCGAGCATTGTGGTGCTCGCTTCTGTCGAGCTCGTCACTGGGGCACTAGTGGCCAGCGTCGCGGTGCTTTCGGAAGAGCTGAGCTGGGACACGCTGCTCGAGGAAATGCTTCTGCTGGAAACCGTGCTGCTGCCAGAGCCTGTGGTGGTTACTGTGGCAGTGCCAGTGGGGCTGGCGCTAGATGCTGTGGTGTCCGTAGCGCTCCTGCTGGTGAGACTCGTGGTGCTGCTCTTAGACCTGCTGATCAGGGTCACGCTGCTCGTCACCGTGCCGCTGCTGACAGTCGTGCTGTCAGTGCTGGTGAGGCTCGCACTGGTGATCGTGACCGTTCCAGTCCCACTGGTGCTAGTGAGGGTAGTGCTGGTCTCGGAGCTGCTGCTCGGGGTCACGCTGCTGGTCCATGTGCCGCTGCTGACCGTCGTTGCGCTGTCAGTGCCCGTCGAACTGGCCGACGTGGCAGTATTGGTGACGCTCGTGACAAAGCCAGTCGAGCTGGTGCCCGTGAGGCTCGTGGTGCTGGTCTCGGAGCTGCTGCTCGGGGTCACGCTGCTGGTCCATGTGCCGCTGCTGACCGTCGTTGCGCTGTCAGTGCCCGTCGAGCTGGTCAATGTGGCAGTACTGCTGAGGCTCGCACTGGTGATCGTGTCGGTTCCAGTCGCGCTGGTGCTGGTTAGACTCGTGGTGCTGCTCTCGGAGCTGCTGCTCGGGGTCACGCTGCTGGTCGAGGTGCCGCTGCTGACCGTCGTTGCGCTGTCAGTGCCAGTCAAACTGGTCAATGTGGCAGTGCTGGTGAGGCTCGCACTGGTGATCGTGACGGTTCCAGTCCCACTGGTACCAGCAAGGCTCGTGCTGCTGCTCTCGGAGATGCTGCTCGGGGTCACGCTGCTAGTCCATGTGCCGCTGCTGACCGTCGTTGCGCTGTCAGTGCCCGTCGAGCTGGTCAATGTGGCAGTGCTGGTGAGGCTCGCACTGGTGATCGTGTCGGTTCCAGTCGTGCTGGTGCTGGTTAGACTCGTGGTGCTGCTCTCGGAACTGCTGCTCGGGGTCACGCTGCTGGTCGAGGTGCCGTTGCTGACCGTCGTTGCGCTGTCAGTTCCCGACGAGCTGGTCAATGTGGCAGTGCTGGTGATGCTCGCACTGGTGATCGTCATGGTTCCAGTCGCGCTAGTGTCGGTGAGGCTCGTGGTGCTGCTCTCGGAGCTGCTGCTCGGGGTCACGCTGCTGGTCGAGGTGCCGCTGCTGACCGTCGTTGCGCTGTCGGTGCCCGTCGAGCTGGTCAATGTGGCAGTACTGGTGAGGCTCGCACTAGTAATCGTGTCTGCTCCAGTCGTGCTGGTGCTGGTTAGACTCGTGGTGCTGCTCTCGGAGCTGCTGCTCGGGGTCACGCTGCTGGTCGAGGTGCCGGTGGTGACCGTCGTTGCGCTGTCGGTGCCCGTCGAGCTGGTCAATGTGCCAGTGCTGGTGAGGCTCGCACTGGTGATCGTGACGGTTCCAGTCGCGCTAGTATCGGTGAGGCTCGTGGTGCTGCTCTCGAAGCTGCTGCTCGGGGTCAAGCTGCTGGTCCATGTGCCGCTACTAACGGTCGTTGCGCTGTCAGTGACCGTCGAGCTGTCGAGGCTCGCACTGGTGATCGTGACGGTTCCAGTGCCACTGGTGCCAGTGAGGCTCGAGGTGCTGCTCTCGGAGCTGCTGCTCGGGGTCACGCTGCTAGTCCATGTGCCGGTGCCGACCGTCGTTGCGCTGTCAGTGCCCGTCGAGCTGGTCAATGTGCTTCGCCACCGTGCCGCTGGCCACGGAGTGGGCGTGTCCTCAGGTCCTTTCACTACCCTCCAAACCTCAATCCTCAGCCCCTGCGGGGTCTTGAAGGGGCCCGGACTCTAATTCCTGGTGGGGCTTGGCGCATGCCCCCATGGGGCTTGTCGCTCTTGTCGCGTGACTTTCTCGGGCCCAAGAAGGCCCAAAGACGGGCCAAGAGGGCCCCAAGCGGCCTGCAAGAGGGCCCCGAGACGCCCCCTGAGATCGGCCCAAGACGTCCAAGTTGGCCCCCGGACGGCCCAAGAGACCTCCAAGACGCCCGAAGAGGCCTCCAAGAGGCCTCTCAAGAGGGCCCCAAGAGGCCGAATTCATTGATTTACCTTCGATGTTTGAAGGATTTTGCCGTTCACGCCTTTACGGCTTCCCGACGATCCCAGACGGCCCCAGAGGCCCCCAAGACCATCCCAAGACTGTCCAAGAGGCTTCCAAAAGAGCCCACAAACGGTCCAAGAAGGCCCCAAGACAGCCCAAGAGGCGCCCAACACGACTCAAGAGGGCCCCAAGACGGCCCCAAAAGGAGTCCAAAAGAGGGAACACGAACTGAACATCGAGCCTTCCGCCCCAAGAGGCCCCCAAATGCGCCCAGGAGCCCCCAAGAGGCCCCCAAGAGGCCCCCAAGAGGCCCCAAGAAGCCCCCAAGAGGCCCAACAGAGGCCCCAAACGGTCCGCGAACGGCCCCCAAGAGGCGTCAAACTTGCCTCCGAGAGGCCCCTGAGAAGCCCCCCACGAGATCCCAACGAACATCCAAAAATCCTCATACCCACAAGCCAGGCATTGTGGCGGTATGGGCCGAAGGCAATGAGATAGTGTTGGTGAGGCTCGCGCTGGTAATCGGGGTCACGCTGCTGGTCCATGTGCGGCTGCTGACCGTCGTTGCGCTGTCAGTGCCAGTCAAACTGGTCAATGTGGCAGTGCTGGTGAGGCTCGCACTGGTGATCGCGACGGTTCCAGTCCCACTGGTGCTAGCAAGGCTCGCTGTGCTGCTCTCGGAGATGCTGCTCGGGGTCACGCTGCTAGTCCATGTGCCGCTGCTGACCGTCGTTGCGCTGTCGGTTCCCGTCGAGCTGGTTAATGTGGCAGTGCTGGTGAGGCTCGCACTGGTGATCGTGTCGGTTCCAGTCGCGCTGGTCGTTGTGCTGGTCTCGGAGCTGCTGCTCGGGGTCACGCTGCTAGTCCATGTGCCGCTGCTGACCGTCGTTGCGCTGTCAGTGCTCGTCGAGCTGGTCAATGTGGCAGTACTGGTGAGGCTCGCACTGGTGATCGTGTCGGTTCCAGTCGCGCTAGTGTCGGTGAGGCTCGTGGTACTGCTCTCGGAGCTGCTGCTCGGGGTCACGCTGCTAGTCCATGTTCCGCTGCTGGCCGTCGTTGCGCTGTCAGTGCCCGTCGAGCTGGTGCTGGTGAGGCTTGCGCTTGTGATAGTGACGGTTCCAGTCGCGCTGGTGCCCGTGAGGCTCGTGGTGCTGCTCTCGTAGCTTCTGCTCGGGGTCACGCTGCTAGTCCATGTGCCGCTGCTGACCGTCGTTGCGCTGTCAGTGTCCGTCGAGCTGGTCAATGTGGCAGTACTGGTAAGGCTCGCGCTGGTGATGGTAACGGTTCTAGTCGCGCTGGTGCTGGTCAGGCTCGTGGAGCTGGTCTCGGAGCTGCTGCTCGGGGTCACGCTGCTAGTCCCCGTGCCGCTGCTGACCGTCGTTGCGCTGTCGGTTTCCGTCGAGCTGGTCAATGTGGCAGTGCTGGTGAGGCTCGCGCTGGTCATCGTGGCAGTTCCAGTCCCACTGGTGCCAGTGAGGCTCGTGGTGCTGCTCTCGGAGCTGCTGCTCGGGGTCACGCTGCTGGTCCATGTGCCGCTGCTGACCGTCGTTGCGCTGTCGGTTCCCGTCGAGCTGGTCAGTGTGGCAGTGCTGGTGAGGCTCGCACTGGTGATCGTGACGGTTTCAGTGGCGCTGGTACCGGTGAGGCTCGTGGTGCTGCTCTCGGAGTTGCTGCTCGGGGTCACGCTGCTAGTCCATGTGCCGCTGCTGACCGTCGTCGCGCTGCCAGTGCCAGTCAAAATGGTCAACGTGGCAGTGTTGGTGAGGCTCGCGCTGGTGGTCGTGACGGTTCCAGTGCCAGTGGTGCTGGTGAGACTCGTGGTGCTGCTCTCGGAGCTGCTGCTCGGGGTCACGCTGCTGGTCCATGTTCCGCTGCTGCCCGTCGTTGCGCTGTCAGTGCCCGTCGAGCTTGTCATTGTGCCAGTGCTGGTGAGGCTCGCGCTGGTGATCGTGACGGTTCCAGTCCCACTGGTGCCCGTGAGGCTCGTGGTGCTGGTCTCGGAGCTGCTGCTCGGGGTCACGCTGCTAGTCCCCGTGCCGCTGCTGACCGTCGTTGCGCTGTCAGTGCCCGTCGAGCTGGATAATGTGGCAGTGCTGGTCAAGCTCGCACTGGTAGTTGTGACAGATCGAGTCGCGCTGGTGCCGGTGAGGCTCGTGGTGCTGCTCTCGGAGCTGCTGCTCGCGGTCACGCTGCTAGTCCATGTGCCGCTGCTGACCGTCGTTGCGCTGTCGGTTCCCGTCGAGCTGGTCAATGTGGCAGTGCTGGTGAGGCTCGCGCTTGTGATAGTGACGGTTCCAGTCCCACTGGTGACCGTGAGGCTAAGGGTGCTGCTCTCGGAGTTGCTGCTCGGGGTAACGCTGCTAGTCCATGTGCCGCTGCTGACCGTCGTTGTGGTGCCAGTGCCCGTCGAGCTGGTCAATGTAGCAGTGCTGGTGAGGCTCGCACTGGTGATCGTCACAGTTCCAGTCCAAGTGGTACTGGTGAGGCTCGTGGTGCTGGTCTCGGAGCTGCTGCTCGGGGTCACGCTGCTGGTCCATGTTCCGCTGCTGACCGTCGTTGCGCTGCCAGTGCCCGTCGAGCTGGTCAATGTGGCAGTGCTGGTGAGGCTCGCGCTGGTGATCGTCACGGATCCAGTCGAGCTGGTGATGGGGCTTGTTGAGCTGGTCTCGGAGCTGCTGCTCGGGGTCAAGCTGCTGGTCGAGGTGCCGCTGCTGACCGTCGTTGCGCTGTCAGTGCCCGTCGAGCTGGTCAATGTGGCAATTCTGGTGAGGCTCGCACTGGTGATCGTGAGAGTTCCAGTGGCACCGGAGTCCGAGAGGCTCGTGGTGCTGCTCTCGGAGCTGCTGCTCGGGATCACGCTGCTGGTCCATGTGCCGCTGCTGGCCGTCGTTGCACTGTCAGTGCCCGTCGAGCTGGTCAATGTGGCAGTGCTGGTCAGGCTCGCACTTGTAATTGTGACGGTTCGAGTCGCGCTAGAGTCCGAGAGGCTCGTGGTGCTGCTCTCGGAGCTGCTGCTCGGGGTCACGCTGCTGGTCCATGTGCCGCTGCTGACCGTCGTTGCGCTGTCGGTGCCCGTCGAGCTGGTCAATGTGGTAAGGCTGGTGAGGCTGACACCGGTGATCGTCACGGTTCCAGTCCCACTAGTGACAGTAAGACTCGTGGTGCTGGTCTCGGAGCTGCTGCTCGGGGTCACGCTACTAGTCCATGTGCCGCTGCTGACCGTCGTTGCGCTGTCAGTGCTCGTCGAGCTGGTCAATGTGGCAGTGCTGGTGAGGCTCGCACTGGTGATCGTGACGGTTCCAGTCGCGCTGGTGCCAGTGAGGCTCGTGGTGCTGGTCTCGGAGCTGCTGCTCGGGGTCACGCTGCTGGTCCATGTGCCGCTGCTGACCGTCGTTGCGCTGTCAGTGCCCGTCGAGCTGATCAATGTGGCAGTGCTGGTGAGGCTCGCACTGTTCGTCACGGTTCCAGTCGAGCCTGTGCCCGTGAGGCTCGTGGTGCTGGTCTCGGAGCTGCTGCTCGGGGTCACGCTGCTGGTCCATGTTCCGCTGCTGACCGTCGTTGCGCTGCCAGTGCCCGTCGAGCTGGTCAATGTGGCAGTGCTGCTGAGGCTCGCACTGGTGATCGTCACGGTTCCAGTCGCGCTGGTGCCCGAGAGGCTCGTGGTGCTGCTCTCGGAGCTGCTGCTCGGGGTCACGCTACTAGTCCATGTGCCGCTGCTGACCGTCGTTGCGCTGCCAGTGCCCGTCGAGCTTGTCAGTGTGGCAGTGCTGGTGAGGCTCGCACTGGTGATGGTGACGGTTCCAGTCGCGCTGGTGCCCGTGAGGCTCGTGGTGCTGCTCTCGGAGCTGCTGCTCGGGGTCACGCTGCTGGTCCATGTTCCGCTGCTGACCGTCGTTGCGCTGCCAGTGCCCGTCGAGCTGGTCAATGTGGCAGTGCTGCTGAGGCTCGCACTGGTGATCGTCACAGTTCCAGTGGCGCTGGTGCCCGTGCGGCTGGTGGTGTTGGTCCCCGAGCTGGTGCTCGGGACCACGCTGCTGGTCCATGTGCCGCTGCTGACCGTCGTTGCGCTGCCGGTTGCCGTCGAGCTGGTCAATGTGGCAGTGCTGGTGAGGCTCGCGCTGGTGATGGTGACAGTTCCAGTCCAACTGGTGCCAGTGAGGCTCGTGGTGTTGGTCCCGGAGGTGCTGCTCAGGGTCAAGCTGCTGGTCCATGTGCCACTGCTGACCGTCGTTGCGCTGCCAGTGCCCGTCGAGCTGGTCAGTGTGGCAGTGCTGGTGAGGCTCGCACTGGTGATCGTGGCAGTTCCAGTCCAACTGGTACTGGTGAGGCTCGTGGTGTTGGTCCCCGAGCTGCGGCTCGGGGTCACGCTGCTGGTCCATGTGCCGCTGCTGGCCGTCGTTGCGCTGTCAGTGCTGGTGATAGTGACGGTTCGCGTCGTGCTGGTACTGCTCTCAGAGCCGCTGCTCGGGGTCAAGCTGCTAGTCCATGTGCCGCTGCTGACCGTCGTTGCGCTGCCAGTACCCGTCGAGCTGGACATTGTTGCAGTGCTGGTGAGGCTCGCACTGGTGATCGTCACGGATCCAGTCGAGCTGGTGCTGGTGAGGCTCATGGTGCTGCTGTCGGAGCTGCTGCTCGGGGTCACGCTGCTGGTCCGTGTGCCACTGCTTACCGTCGTTGCGCTGCCAGTGCCCGTCGAGCTGGTCAATGTCGCAGTGCTGGTGAGGCTCGCGCTGGTGATCGTGACGGTTCCAGTCGAGCTGGTAATGCTCGTGACGGTTACAGTGGCGCTGGTGACCGTGACGGTTCCAGTCGAGCTGGTCTCGGAGCTGCTGATCGGGGTAACGCTGCTAGTCCATGTGCCGCTGCTGACCGTCGTTGCGCTTTCAGTGCCCGTCGAGCTGGTCAATGTGGCAGTGCTGGTGTGGCTCGCACTGGTGATCGTGACGGTGCCAGTCCCACTGGTGCCAGTGAGGCTCGTGGTGCTGGTCTCGGAGCTGCTGCTCGGGGTCACGCTGCTAGACCACGTGCCGCTGCTGACCGTCGTTGCGCTGTCAGTGCCCGTCGAGCTGGTCAATGTGGCAGTGCTGGTCAGGCTCGCGCTGGTCATCGTCACGGTTCCAGTCGCGCTGGTGCTGGTGAGGCTCATGGTGCTGCTGTCGGAGCTGCTGCTCGGGGTTACGCTGCTAGTCCATGTGCCGCTGCTGACCGTCGTTGCGCTGTCAGTGCCCGTCGAGCTGGACATTGTGGCAGTGCTGGTTGGGCTCGCACTGGTGATCGTCACGGTTCCAGTGGTCTCGGAGCTGCTGCTCGGGGTCACGCTGCTGGTCCATGTGCCGCTGCTGGCCGTCGTTGCGCTGTCAGTGCCCGTCGAGCTGGTCAATGTGGCAGTGCTGGTTGGGCTCGCAGTGGTGATCGTCACGGTTCCAGTCGCGCTGGTGCCAGTGAGGCTCGTAGTGATAGTCTCGGAGCTGCTGCTCGGGGTCACGCTGCTGGTCCATGTTCCGCTGCTGACCGTCGTTGCGCTTTCAGTGCCCGTCGAGCTGGTCAATGTGGCAGTGCTGGTGAGGCTCGCACTGGAGATCGTCACGGTTCCAGTGCCACTGGTGCCAGTGAGGCTCGTGGTGCTGGTCTCGGAGCTGCTGCTCGGGGTCACGCTGCTGGTCCATGTGCCGCTGCTGACCATCGTTGCACTGTCAGTGCCCGTCGAGCTTGTCAGTGTGGCAGTGCTGGTGAGGCTCGCACTGGTGATCGTCACGGTTCCAGTTGCACTTGTGCCAGTGAGACTCGTGGTGCTGGTCTCGGAGCTGCTGCTCAGGGTCAAGCTGCTGGTCCATGTGCCGCTGCTGACCGTCGTTGCGCTGCCAGTGCCCGTCGAGCTGGTCAATGTGGCAGTGCTGGTGAGGCTCGCACTGGTGATCGTCACGGTTCCAGTCGAGCTGGTGCTGGTGAGACTTGCGGAGCTGCTGCTCGGGGTCACGCTGCTGGTCCATGTGCTGCTGCTGACCGTCGTTGCGCTTTCAGTGCCCGTCGAGCTGGTCAATGTGGCAGTGCTGGTGTGGCTCGCGCTGGTGATCGTGACGGTTCCAGTCCCACTGGTGCCAGTGAGGCTCGTTGTGCTGCTCTCGGAGCTGCTGCTCCGGGTAACGCTGCTGGTCCATGTGCCGCTGCTGACCGTCGTTGCGCTGTCAGTGCCCGTCGAGCCGGTCAATGTGGCAGTGCTGGTGAGGCTCGCACTGGTGATCGTCACGGTTCCAGTCGCGCTGGTGCCCGTGAGGCTCGTGGAGCTGGTCTCGGAGCTGCTGCTCGGGGTAACGGTGCTAGTCCATGTGCTGCTGCTGACCGTCGTTGCGCTTTCAGTGCCCGTCGAGCTGGTCAATGTGGCAGTACTGGTGAGGCTCGCACTAGTAATCGTGTCTGTTCCAGTCGTGCTGGTGCTGGTTAGACTCGTGGTGCTGCTCTCGGAGCTGCTGCTCGGGGTCACGCTGCTGGTCGAGGTGCCGGTGGTGACCGTCGTTGCGCTGTCGGTGCCCGTCGAGCTGGTCAATGTGGTAAGGCTGGTGAGGCTGACACCGGTGATCGTCACGGTTCCAGTCGCGCTAGTGTCGGTGAGGCTCGTGGTGCTGCTCTCGGAACTGCTGCTCGGGGTCACGCTGCTGGTCCATGTGCCGCTGCTGACAGTCGTTACGCTGTCAGTGCCCGTCGAGCTGGTCAATGTGGCAGTGCTGGTGTGGCTCGCGCTGGTGATCGTGACGGTTTCAGTGCCACTCGTGCCAGTGCGGCTCGTTGTGCTGCTCTCGGAGTTGCTGCTCGGGGTCACGCTGCTAGTCCATGTGCCGCTGCTGACCGTCGTTGCGCTGGCAGTGCCCGTCGAGCTGGACATTGTGGCAGTGCTGGCGAGGCTCGCACTGGTGATCGTCACGGTTCCAGTGGCGCTGGTGCTGGTGAGGCTTGCGGAGCTGCTGCTCGGGGTCACGCTGCTGGTCCATGTGCTGCTGCTGACCGTTGTTGCGCTGTCAGTGCCCGTCGAGCTGGTCAATGTGGCAGTGCTGGTGAGGCTCGCGCTGGTGATCGTGACGGTTCCAGTCGAGCTGGTGCCAGTGAGGCTCGTGACGGTTCCAGTCGCGCTGGTGATCGTGACGGTTCCAGTCGAGCTGGTCTCGGAGCTGCTGCTCGGGGTCACGCTGCTGGTCCATGTGCCGCTGCTGACCGTCGTTGCGCTGTCAGTGCCCGTCGAGCTGGTCAATGTGGCAGTGCTGGTTGTGCTCGCACTGGTGGTCGTCACGGTTCCAGTGGCGCTTGTGCCCGTGAGGCTCGTGGTGCTGGTCTCGGAGCTGCTGCTCGGGGTAACGCTGCTGGTCCATGTGCCGCTGCTGACCGTCGTTGCGCTGTCAGTGCCCGTCGAGCTGGTCAATGTGGCAGTGCTGGTGAGGCTCGCACTGGTGATCGTCACGGTTCCAGTCGAGCTGGTGCCAGTGAAGCTCGTGGTGCTGGTCTCGGAGCTGCTGCTCGGGGTAACGCTGCTGGTCCATGTGCCGCTGCTGACCGTCGTTGCGCTTTTAGTGCCCGTCGAGCTGGTCAATGTGGCAGTGCTGGTGAGGCTCGCACTGGTGATCGTCACGGTTCCAGTGCCACTGGTGCCAGTGAGGCTCGTGGTGCTGGTCTCGGAGCTGCTGCTCGGGGTAACGCTGCTGGTCCATGTGCCGCTGCTGACCGTCGTTGCGCTGTCAGTGCCCGTCGAGCTGGTCAATGTGGCAGTGCTGGTGAGGCTCGCACTGGTGATCGTCATGGTTCCAGTGCCACTGGTGCCAGTGAGGCTCGTGGTGCTGGCCTCGGAGCTGCTGCTCGGGGTCACGCTGCTGGTCCATGTGCCGCTGCTGACCGTCGTTGCGCTGTCAGTGCCCCTCGAGCTGGTCAATGTGGCAGTGCTGGTGAGGCTCGCACTGGTGATCGTCACGGTTTCAGTCGCGCTGGTGCTGGTGAGGCTCATGGTGCTGCTGTCGGAGCTGCTGCTCGGGGTCACGCTGCTGGTCCATGTGCTGCTGCTGACCGTCGTTGCGCTGTCAGTGCCTGTCGAGCTGGACATTGTGGCAGTGCTGGTGAGGCTCGCACTGGTGATCGTGACAGATCCAGTCACGCTGGTGTCACTAAGGCTCGTGGTGCTAAGCTCTGAGCTGCTGCTCGGGGTAACACTTCTAGTCAATGTGCCACTGCTGACCGTCGTTGCGCTGTCAGTGCCCGTCGAGCTGGACATTGTGGCAGTGCTGGTGAGGCTCGCACTGGTGATCGTGACGGTTCCAGTCGAGCTGGTGCCACTAATGCTTGTGGTGCTGGTCTCGGAGCTGCTGCTCGGGGTCACGCTGCTAGTCAAGGTGCCGCTGCTGGCCATCGTTGTGCTGTCAGAGCCCGTCGAGCTGGTCAATGTGGCGGTGCTGGTGAGGCTCGCACTGGTGATCGTGACGGTTCCAGGCCCACTGGTGCCAGTGAGGCTCGTCGTGCTGCTCTCGGAAGTGCTGCTCGGGGTAACGCTGCTAGTCAATGTGCCGCTGCTGACCGTCGTTGCGCTTTCAGTGCCCGTCGAGCTTGACATTGTGGCGGTGCTGGTGAGGCTTGCACTGGTGATCGTGACGGTTTCAGTCGCGCTTGTACCTGTGAGGCTTGTGGTCCTGCTCTCGGAGCTAATGTTCAAGGTTGCGATCCACGTCCCTGTGCTGCTGCTGACGGGCGTCATGCTGCTCGTGCCGGTCGAGCTCGTTAACGCGGCAATTTCAGTGACGCTCTCACTAGCCACCGTGCTTGTACCAGTGGCGCTGGTGCTGGTGAGGTTCGTGGTGCTGCTTCCGAAGCTGCTGTTCAGGGTCACTGTGCTCGTGCCTGTGTTGCTGGCCGTCGTGCTGCTACTTCCTGTCGAGCTGGTCAACGAGGCAATGTCGGCGACGCTCGCGTTAGTCGTCGCAATTGTACCAGTCGTGCTGGAGCTATTATGGCTCGTGGTGCTGCTCTCTGGCAGGCTGCTCGTCCCTGTGGTGCGGATGACTGTCGCGCTGCCAGTGCTGGTTGAGCTGGTTAATGGTGCACCCGCCGTCGTAGAACCAGCGCTCGTCAAAGTGGTGCTAGTCAGCACGGCGGCGCTGGTCGTGCTCGTAATGCTACCACCCGAGCTGCTGGTCAAGGTCAAATTGCTAATTCTACCAATTCTGGTGAGCGTTGTGCTGCTGGTCTCCGTCATGCTGGCAAGTGTAGCCGTCCTAGTGGCATTGGCGCTAGCCATTGGGATGGTGTCACTCGCGCTTGCGCTGGTGAGGTCTGTGGCACGGCTACTGGAACTGCTGCTGGGGCTCGTGCTGCTGGTCTCTGTGGTGCCGGTGAGCGTCGTGCTGCTAGTGTCTGCCAGGCTGGTTAACGTCGCAGAGCCCGTGAAGCTCGAACTCGTCACCATGGTTGTGTCAGTCGCGCCGGTGAGGGTGACGCTCGTCGCGCTGCTGCTGCGGCTCACACTGCCGGCCTCGGTGCTGCTGCTGAACGTCATGCTGCTAGCGTCTGCTGAGCTGGTAAGTGTGGCAATCGTGGTGAGGTTCGCGCCGATAGTCGTGATGGCGTCAATCCCAGTATTGGTACTTGTGTCCGCTTCGACAGTCACCGTGGTAGTTCGCCAGCCCTAGGAGCCAGGGGCGCGTCAGATCTTACACTCAGAGGTGGCACCTCGAGAAGCCACCTATAAAGGGGCCCTGGGACACACACACAGACACACACACACACAGACACACAGACACACACACAGACACACAGACACACACACACACACCACACACACCACACACACATGCACACACACACACCACACACACCACACACACACACACGCACACACACACACACACACACGCCACGCACGCACGCACGCACGCGCACGCGCACGCGCACGCGCACGCGCACGCGCACGCGCACGCGCACGCGCACGCGC